CGTGTAACTATTTTAAATATTCGCCTTTATATTAATGTTAGACACATTTTTTAAATAGATTGATCCAATTAAGAAGCGAAGGGAATCCCGGCTGGATAGAAAGTTTTCTCTTAACTCTTAAGCAAATTCATGGAATAGTTATCAAGCACGTCGACGAAAGCGTTTTCTCGGAATTGGGACTGGTGAAACCTCCCTCTTACATGTTGGGAAGGTATGTCTCGAAAAAGAAAAAGTATTGTTTATATAGGAAAGAATACTTGCGTTAAAAATTAATAATATATATTTTTTATTAGGATAGATTTAAAAGAAAGCTCTTCAGATTCCGACGAGGATAATTGGAGAATGTATAAACACTGCTTTTATGTAAATTATTAACTTATAAATTATATAAGGAAGGTAATTATTCAATTCTAGGAAAATGATCATGTTGAGAATAAGCAAGTTATTTCAGAAGGAAATGTCGTATTAAGTAATACAATGGCAATATGCCTCATGGCACCTGGCTGTAGTTTGGAAAATAACGATTTAGAATTATCAATGGACGGTGAGAATAAATTTTAGCGCGTTGGGTAGTTAAAAGTAGGTATTTTATTTTAGTTATGATTATGAAAACCTTCGATTCTCTTACATCCTACGAGCAACTTCTTCTGAAAATGAGCTCTGTAATAGGAAATCTATTTATGAGGGACATGCTCCTATATATTATGGGAACCGCTTCCAAGGAAAGGGACACGGCATTAGGTAAAAATATTATTTCTAATGTTATTTTTAATCGATTTTTTTTTCTATTTTGCAGCTGTAAAAAAGCTGTTTGAGATGAGAGTTTTACAGTGTGCCCGGGGAGATTTTACCGAAGATTCTCAAGGTCTAGTGATGAATCAAAGAACATCTTTGACGAAACCGGACTCGTCAATTCAATGCAACTGTATTGGTTATCCCAGAAATGGTATGTGCAATACGGTTGTTAAAAGAATATAAAAACATGACATCTCGAAATTTATTAGTTAGCGATCTTCCCAAATACGCATTTTGTGGTTACATAAGATTTACTCTACCTATATTCAGAGAAACAACGTACAATTTATTAACTGATTCTCAAAAGAAAGAGTTTCATACAAAAGCCATGAAGTACTTAGAAAAACAGACAAGACGGTGCATTTCATGCGGACGAGGATTTTTCTATAATATTCTCGGGACACGGATAGAAAGTGTAAGCATTTCAACGTAGTGATTAAATTTCTTATTTACTTATTTTATATGTATATAAAAAAATAAAACAATTTTGTAGGATTTAATTGCATTTCGAAAGAATGATCACAAAAAGACCAATGTTTATCGAACTCAACCTAGAAGACAAAGCTCAAAACATTCCTCACTTGTTAATTCTATAGAATCAAGAAATTTACAAAGACTTTTCGATGGAAGTTCAGGAAGCAGTAAAAAAAGAGAAACTTATTTTATTCCCTGTAAAGCATAATTAGCGCTTTTTTGTAATTTCAGATGATTTTTTGATAGAAAGCAATTTTGGAGTCAACCTTGTAAAAAAACTAAGTAAAAGGTTTTCCTTAACTAGAACATTTTCGTTCACAGACTTTAGTAGTTGCCAGTGTAGTCATATTTTAGACAACATGTACATTCAAATATTAGAGCACTGTAGAGAAGCTGGTGAGTGTTCGTCGAAATTAAAACGGTTTTTTTAAATGCATATACACAAGTACTGATTTAGGTGAATACGAAAAATTGATACAGGCCCTCTTGGAATATGCAAATTTGTGCGTGGAACTTCAAAATTTGCCTCAAGCTCTTAAAACATTGAAAGACGCGGAAATGTTTATAACGGTGAAATTTTAAAATGATCATAATTGAAGCATTCCTTTGAAGAAAAAACAAAACTCATTAGGAATAATTTTAGGAAAGAGTACAATTGGAAGATAACAATGAAAAAAATAACTGGCATGTCCCTATCATATATGGACAAATTAAAACTCTTACAGGCGCTGCCCATTTAGACTCGGGGCAAATCAATGAAGCTTATGAAAATTTAAATGAGGCTCTTTGCTGTTACGGTATACTCTATATTTTGTATATTATAAAAAGCTCGTTATATATATTGATTCGTTAAAAGGTAAAATTTAGATAAACTTGGTAATGTGGCAAAGGAAAAACGTGTTTTTATAGCACTAACGTAATATTTCTTTAAAAACGGTAAAAGCTGATTTTCTAATTCACTCTATTACGAAAAAACTTTATTCCGGATTTTATGAAGTTTTTCCTATTATTTCAGGGTACCAATTTCCTCGAAGCAAACTTGCAAGAGGTAGAAAGATGTTTACATTAAAAATGAAACAAAACTTTGGTTTATACTTTAGTCCCACGTTTCTCTTTGGGTCCGCGCAAGGGTANTAATTATTAAAACATTGAATACAGATAATACCATAGGATAATACCAATGATACTCTATGGGTCTATGAATGAAACAATGAAACTGTTTTTATTGTTAAAAAAACCATAATGAACTTTAACCTAAATTTTTCTACCATCATTTTAAATTCTTTAGTTTAGTTTTTAAAAGATATATTGAAATGATTTCTGATGATTTTGATGGCGATATTGGAGATTCGGAATTTATTAAAAGTATTTTCGAACATAAATGTGAATTAACCCAAAACATTAATTCCTCTAAGGACAATTATGTTTTGCATATTGCACCCAAAGGGTAAATTATTATTCGATAGTTTCCTTTTTTACAGCATTTCTGAAAATAATACATGATAATCGTATTCGTTTTAGAGGAAGGAATAACGGAAACATAGCAGTAGCATATTCTACTGTATATGAATATATTACTTTATCTTTTTGTAGGCACAACTTTATAAGCTTAATGGTTACAGTGCCATGGAAAAAGAAAATCAGCAGCTAAAGGAAGAAAATAAGAGAATAAAAGATGATATCCGTAATAAACTTCTTTTGGAAGAAGAGGTTTATGATTTAAGAAATCGTTTAAATAAATATAAGGATCAAGAGCAAACATTAGCTTCCTTGCAGGTAAACTAAAGCATTGCATTCAGGTTTACATATGTGTGTGGTATAATATTATTATTGTTATTTGTTAATAAATTTTTAGGCTGCAATGGTTCAAAATGAAGTTTTTCTAAATGAATGGAAAACATTGGCCAGATCAATTTGTGAAAGTTCATGGCCTGATTCAGCACTTCCTAGTTTATTGCGTACAACTGTAGAAAAGTTACAACAGAAAGAAATCAATTTAACGACTGAAATTGTACAGTTACAATCTCAACTTAATGCTGCCATACATGTAATTATATATTAACTATTTTTTGTCAACAAGCACGGAAAAAAATAATTAGGACACGTCATAGGTAAGTACTTACTTATACTTAAGTTACTCAGTGCACTTTTTGAATTTTCGGCCGGGATATGAAATGCATTGTGTTTGTTAGCGACGAGAACAGGTATGTTTTAATTTACTGGTTTATGAGTATTATCCATACGATCATTACTTCTTTTAAAATATTTCTCATAAAATTATTCATTTTTAAGTATATGTAATTTATGCTAAGCTGGTTATGTTATAGTCAATAAGTCCGTCTTGTCCAAAAAAGCACTATACTCATCGATCGCTACGATCTAAATCTTTTTATGCTGAGTGACTGACTAAGTTTAGTAAGTACTTACATCAGCCAAAGACGCCCAAACTCAAAGAAACATATACTATGTAAAACATACTATAGAGAATTGTTTAATTAGAACAATTTGCCATAACGTTTTTCATTGTAGTATATGCTTCTTTGAGTTTGTATTCACAATAATTTATTTTTCAACAAAATGGTGACTCAGTTTGTGTGCCACCCAGCATATAATTTAATTGCAATAGTTCAATATATTATTAATTTTTTTTTTTAGGAAAAGGTTGTGGCTCAATCTGAACTTGAAAAAAATCAAAAACATCTTGCAGAAGTCGGAAAAAGTTTGCAACAGAGACAAAATCTTATACATCGCATGCAAAAGAAATTATTGCTCATAAGTAGAGAAAGAGACAGTTATCGATTACAATTAGACTCTTATGAGCGTGATCTAACTGTTTGCATGATTCAACCTAGCACTAGTAGTTGCTCTGCTACTTCCAATCCGCAACAAACACAAAAGAATCGCATCGAAAGCTTGGAAAAAATCATCGAAGGTTATCGAGATATGGTAGCAAAACTTGAGAATGAATTGCAGA